TGATTGATTCCGCCGCTTGCTTCAAGTCGGTTCAATAATCCCAGAGTAAGCATCATCTTGGGTTTACCTTTGGAATCGAATGGAATGGGCTTAAATCCGTTCAACAGGTGGCACTGGGGCCAGATCTCTTTCGAGCTTTGCACACCTGTTAAGGGCTTCTGCTAACACTAATGCCAGCATCGCATCTTTATCTGCGGTCCATCAAGCGGATCGCATTTGCATACAATTCCCATCGAAGCACACAGAGAGATATCTATATCTTTATATGTATATATCATTTTCCCTATCTTCTAGTGACAATCTGGCGGGCATAAATCAGGGGGGGGGAAGCATCTCGGCTTGGATCTCCGGTCTATAAATTCAAATTAGATGGTTCAACTTTAGCCCCAGACCGGCCCCAGGGGCAGGTGATTTAGCACTCGGCATATGCCAAGAATCAGTTTGCAGGTGTTTCAATGCCAAAAACGAGTTTACATTCAGCCACTTGACTTATTTGCCCGCTAATTTCTGGTTATTTATGCGAGCCAACTCGAGCTGAGCTCAGCTGTTGGTAAAAAGTCAAACAATAGATGGCTTTTTGGGTGGGGCCTCAAGTCGGTTTTTGTGGATTTGTTTGTTTTTCCATTGGGTCCATTGTTTGCCCGACAACATGACAATTACACGTTAAGAATTCTTTGCGAAAACAAATTGCGTTTGTCAGCTCAGGCGGGAAGTAATCAGCATAGCAAATTATGGAATTATTTCCATCTGGAATCGAGTTGGACCCAAGGTCGTCGTCATTTCACTTAGTCAAGTGCAGGTTTAATTTACAACTGAAATGATCTCAGACAAAATATTTTGGTAAAATGAATACGAAATAATTGTTCTGGCAATGTCAAAATTTATAATTTTGTTTTCGGTTTTATTTCGATGATCTCAGACAGTCATTTAGATGGGCTAAAAATATTTTAATGGCTTCAAGACAAGTGTTTTTAAAAAAGGTAAAATTATTGCTTAGTTTAAAGTGACTTTTGGGGGAATCTAAAAATAAATTAGGTTATTTGTTAGCCTTTAAAGTATGGCTTTGTATCTCGAAATAAATATATATAAATAATATTTAGTTCAACTTAAATGTTGTGGCTTTGTCTGTCTGCAACTTATAAGATTCTTTTGGCATTGAGCTGCTTTTAACTTGAGCAATTTTCTGGGAAATGGAATCCTCTCAGGATGCTCTGAATTTTTACAGAGGCCATTTCCAGTCTTTTTTTTTTTGGTTTTGAGGCAAAAGGCTGAATGAGAGGCGAGGCCTGTTTGTTATTTACCGACAACTTTATGGCCACATGTCGACAACAACCACGGCGAATTGTCATCATAAACAATGTTAAAAAAAGCAAAAACAACAAATTTGTTGCTTACATTTCCCCCCCCCCCCACCCCCCTCCTTTTTTTGTTGTTACTTTTGTTGACGCGCATGTGTGAAAAATAAGCAAGTTTCCGAGTTGGGCGTCCAAGTAATGTGGGGGGTGTGGTCGTCAACAACTCCAGCGACATCCACGAAATTTTTCTGCTCATTTTTTTCCCTGCCTCTTTTTTTCCCCCTCTTATTCGAGGCTTTTCTTGCTTGTTGTTGTTGTTTGTGTGCGGAAAAGCGCCGCCACGGCGTCTATTTAATGAAGTGCCAGGCCCCAACGATTTTTCGGGCGACACTCGACATTTTTTGTGTGCGTGTGTGTGAGTGTGTGAAATAGTGTGAATTTTCACATCAAGTTCACTGCAGTTTTTTTGGGCCAACACACGAAGCGATTGCACCAAGTTAAGACCGAACAGGGCCAAGTTGAGCCATCCCGAAAGCCAGTCGAAAGGTGCGAACGGACAGAGTTGACAGGTGGGCGAAGGTTGATTTAAGCGCCAATTGAATGGGGTTAGCAGCGCGCTTGTGGCCAAGTTAAGAGGTGCTTGAGAGACGGCTTTAAGAGCACTTTGAATACTAAGCAGATGACACACTAAACCACCAAAAAGTAAGGGTCTTAATTACGAGAGAAATGGCACAGAAAACAAACAAACATTAAGGAAAAGCCTATTTGGCAAAAAGTGAAATGTTGCCAATTATTAACTATTAAGTTTTTTAAAGCATTTTCTATTGCTTAAACTCCACTGACACAATTTATAGCAATTATTTATGATAATACGGAAATAAGTTATAAAGAAAATAAATCAAAAGTAATATATTGCAGTCTAATCTGCATAAAATAGTATTTAATTTGTTTAAATCCAACATAATGGTTTATAAATAATTACAAACTGAAAGGGAAATCATTGTAATACTTTTCGTATTTATGTGTTTCATCATAAATGATTAATTAAACATTTCCCAACATAGTTTCTGGTTTCCTACACTTTTCCCTTCTCTAAAAGTTCTCCCAAATACATTTCTATCCAAAATAGATCACAATTTCCACCAAACACTCTTGACACATGGTCGAGATCATTTGGACTTAACCTAAGCTCCCGTTTTAAAGCCATTTAAACCAACGTATTGAGAGCCATTCGGCTGAGCACTTACCCGCGAACACATGTGTATCCAATCACTCCTCTTGGTATAATCTGTAATGAAGAGCAAACATATAAATTTAATAAGCTGTCACATAAATTTTCCGCTCTCTCATGAGCACTTAAAGCTATATACTGGGCACTATGTATATAGGCACAGAGCCCCCAAAAAATTCATTCAAGCCGAACACTAAATTAGACAGAGAGTACCTAAAAATAGAGGGTAAAATCTAAAACAAATTAAATCCACTTGAAAACCGTTGCCAATGGCAAAATGAAAATGTTTTGGCATCTGTTTCGATTTAAAGGATTGAGTGGAAATTGAATACTTTACCAAGAACGCTGACGCTGACGCTGACTAAGTGAAAATTAATAGTCGAGAAAACCCAACGCAAAAATCAGAAAAACATGTAGGGAAAGGGGGAAAAAACAGGGAAAACTTTCACTGGAATCCGTAACGAGAAACTTGAAATGACTTTTTGAACTGTGAACCGTGAACATGGAGTTATCGAAGGGCAGCGGAGTGTGTGTGTGTTTGGAGTGTGTGGAGTGTGTGTCGCGCTAGACGCATCATAAATATTTGAAAAGTGTCTGTGTAACTGACACGATGATGGTTCCATCGAGAGGGGGGGCACGTTGTACCCATATGCCACATGGCAGCAACAACATTTTGACACACTCAAGTGTGTGACAGCCCCCATCATCAGCGCCGATCCGAGGCGATCCTCAGTTTTGTTCGGCCGAAGATGTGCGACAATAAATTTGAAAATTATGAGCATAATTCTTCATTAACAGCGCCTCCGTGCTGCCATTGATAAATTGGAAAACCCGATAGAGCAGAGGCGTCTGCCCCATAGTAGTAGTAGTAGTAGTTCCTCCCAAACGAAAGTGAAATGTGAAACTGCCCACATTTGCTTTCGTTTTACGAGTCGAGTGGATATTTTTTGGGGGTTCCCGAGGAGAGCCGAGCCGAGTGATAAATTGGCGATATTACGGCAGCAGATTATTCAAATTTCTGCCGTGGGCGTTAACCCACAGAAAAGGCATTTGAAGAATGCCAAACCAGGCCAGAGATAGAGCCGATTGTTGTTTGGCATTCAAATTGAAATAACGTGATTTTTGTGGTCCACTGGCCGTTGGCCGATTTAGCCAGGGAGAGAAAGAGAGAGATTGCTGCTCGGTTGACATAGATTTTTTTGTCCCCCTCGCCGGCTATTGTTTTGCGGTTTTGCGCAGATTTCAGGGCTTGACTCAATCGATACGCACTTTTTTAGTTTGATTTTTGTCGCTTTTTTTACCTATTATCTATCTATAGTGGGTGTGGGCGCAACTTTCTGGCTGTTTAGCGTTTTGTGTGGTTATATTCCCAAAGGGAATTCAATGGTATTCACCATTCACTATTTCAACATTGGTTTAAAGACCATACAAATGTGAAATAAAACATTCAAAACTGAGAAACATTTACTTGGGCTTGCATATTAGTTTGAAAATATGTTTAAAGTAAATGTAGATAAGAAAATATTTGAAGGAATATATGAAATAAATAATTCGAAGAATATATAAAAGAAAAAATAAAAAATAAATGTTTTCACATCTCTCCCCGACGGGGAATTGAACCCCGGTCTCCCGCGTGACAGGCGGGGATACTAACCACTATACTATCGAGGATGTTGAATTACGAACATCCAAATGCTTTCATAGCAGCTAGCACTGTTCTCAGGTGCCTCGATCGATAAGTGAGAACAGTGAAAACACTGAGAACAGTGAAAACACTGAGAACAGTTAATATAAAGCTCTAAAATGACAACATTTTCTATTTATAAATACATTTCTTACATTTTTTCTGGCTTTACTTAACTGAATTTGTTAGTATTTTCCACCTACTTTGATCCATACTAAAGAACTTTAAAATAACAGCTTAAATACGACAATTTATCACCAATTATTGTACAGATTGTTTATATTTTCCCCTGATTAAAGATTACTGATCTGGATTTTTCGCATTTTTGTTGTATTTTCCAACGCAATCAATTGATTTTAATGCGTTTCCAGCAGCATAGCACAATCATCGAATGCTTGCTCCACTTTAACAGCCGCATACCAGAGTCAGTCGTTGTTCTCCATGGAGTTTTTTTTACGTTTCTGAGAGCCCCTGAGACCAGACCCGGACCCAGACCCAACCAGACCAGACGTGAAGTGCAGCCGGCAGCGATTTCGAAATCATTCCCACCTCATAACACCGCCGCCGCCCCGTTCACTCCAATTCACTCCAATCCCGGCGCGAGTTTGGCTTTCACAGCCCAATTCACTTGCCGCAAAAACCGCAAGGTGCGTTGTTGTTATGCTCGCAACACACAAAGTTGCTCAAAAGTGCATTCAATGCAAACGAAAAATGTCAGTATAGGACAAGAAAAGCAATAACACAAGCCACATTGATTGCAACACCATCTCCATTTCTATCACAATCAAAAAAAGGAACATCTTTCATCTCTCACAAGAAAATAGTATTACACTTGCTACACCCATCATCAATATATAAATTCCAAAAAAAAAACACTACAAACACATTCAAAATTCATCCTAGTTGTAACAAATTCCCCAAAAACTCCATAAAACACTTCTGCAACTTCAACAATGACCATGACAATGAGACGCTGTGTGATCTGTGGCGAGAGGCCGCCCCCGATGGATGCCCAGGGCAACGTGGCTTATGCGTATCCCAAGAACGATGAGGAGGCTCGCATTTGGCAGATTAGCATGGCGGCCAAGGAGTGCTCCGTGCGGAGCATACGGAAGGAGTGCTGCGTCTGTGTGGAGCACATTCCAGAGTTTGTGACCCGGGCCAAGGCCATTGGCAGGAAGCTGAGCGCTGAGAAGAAGAAGCAAAGGGAGGCGAAATGTTCAGAGGCTTCGACGCCCGATGAAGAACCTAAGGAAGAGCCAGAGGAAAAGCCGAAGGATGAATGCGTTCAGTGTCCGGATTGTGGGGAACCAGCTGAGGAACGGGAGAAACCCTCGGTTAGTGTCCTGCTCCTGAACGGATCCTCGCTGCCCACCTATTGCGCCGATAGCAAAGGTTCTTGCTGCGTGGACTCCCGTCCGGCTGAGAAGGGCGATTCCAAGGGTAAGGCAACGAAAAGGATCAAGTCAGTGAAGTCCAAGTGCTCGGACACGGAGATCTTTGTGCTGGAGTCTGGCTTTCAGGACACTGGTGGCAAATTTCCGGATATTGACGGTACAGAGGTCACCCACCTGCGGGCGCCCACGCAGGAGGAGGACGAGCTGACGCAATTGCGAGAGGAGATGATGGAGGAGGTGGAAGAGAATGGAGATCCCACTATCAGGTCTGATTTTAGCCAAGTTTGGCTTGAAATTGATACTATAAATAGCTCTGAATTCACTTTGTTTGATATATGTAAATTGAAACTGGCTTTAATTGTTTTGTAACACATTTCTGATTGCCTTTTGTCCGAGAAGTTCTGAAAACTTGTTTTACTTTGCCAATAACCAATCAAACTAGTTTTTCGCGTGCTATATTTATATAAATGCGTAACTCAATTTCCATAAAATCGTTTTTAGACTGCGTTAGATGCAGAAACTGGATTTTAAATCATATTTTACCTACAGTATTCAACAGTTTAGGCAATTTTTTAACTTCAAAACCAATTTGAACATAACTTTTCCTAGGAGACGTCGTGGTAGCTGCCTTCCCGGCTGCACGGATGTCCTTCTCCTGGGTCGGGGACAGCACGAAACGGACGTGTGTCCTTGCAAGTGCGATCAGTGCAAAAAGACCTGTGGCCTTTCGGATCCAGATCCTTGCTGCCGGCCAGAATGTTGCCCGAAATGCGAGCCAGAGTACTTTGACCAGCCGCCATGTGGCTGCGAATGCGAACAGCAGGTGCGAAGGGAACTGGGGAAGGTGATCAAGGATCAAGCGATGCGAATCCTAGAGCTAGAGGAGCTACTCTGCCGGCAGAATAATATGCGCAATTGCCTGCAACGGAAGCTGGACGAGCTGTACTGTGAGTTTGGCCGCCTGGACGACGCCGAGAACGAGGCGTATCGATCGGGAATATCCTGCCCGGGAAGTAAACGTGGCGGTCCTGATTGCGCCTCCGTGCTCAGCGAGCGTCCTTCAATACAGCCTGAACAACAACCGAAAGTAGAGTCCAGTCGCTCGATGTTTAGTAGGATATCGTTGAAGAGATTAAGCACCAGCGATGTTCGTTCCAAGCAGCCGGAAGAGTTACCTGTACCAAGGATACGGATACATGGATTTGCGGAACAGAAGCCGGAACTTACAAAGCGCACCCGAAGACCCAAGTGGGTCAATAGAACGGAATCGGAAGAGCGAATGATTACTACCCAAGTTGGCCAAATGCCTTCAATAAAGTTCAATGAAATTCCCACCACCTCTGGGATGGTCAACTATTCCGCTTCCACCTTGGCTTTAAGCCGCAATCGTGCCTCCGAAACCCAAGGCAACTTGAGCAACTCCAGAGGCAATCTCTCCACATCCAATTACTCCGATGTGACCATATCCAATTCCAGGTCCAGCTACACGGTATCCTTCAACTCAAATGTGAACAAATCCAACTCCAAGACCAACCAATCCATATCCCAAGCTTGATGTGATGGCACATCCACTTCCACCCACACTTCAACTCCCATTCACATCCATTTCCATATACACCTGCCCACCTCCGTCTATACCTTGTCTACTGTGCAATCATGCAAATAAAAATATATTCTTTTTTTCCGGCTCTGTGCAAATGTTTTTAACCCAAATATTTTGTAGACATGCAACATTTATGTAGACAGGCAGCAAACAATTTGCAACAGAGCGAGAGACAAAGCACTCAAAGAAATCAGTGAGTTATTAAGGGAAATTTGTTAAGAGAATCATTTTTATTTGGTTTAATTTTTTAGCATTAGTAAGTGAGGGAAATGTTTGTAATTATGCCTGAAAATGTCTATTCTATCTTTAATTATCAACTAAGCTCTCTTGATTTATATTATTTTAAATTGTAGTTGCAAAGTGATTGCTAGAAATTCCCAAGTCCAAATTCTGGGACATGGTTTTGTGAGAAAAGTGAAAAAAACCAGCTGTTTTACTTGTATTTTTCCTCCTATCTGTGTTAAATCAGGTTTAAATTTTCCATAAAACTCTGTTACTTCTTTTAAGTATTTATTTTATACTCATTTTATGTAAAAAAAATGACACATACATTGAAATTTCTTTCAGTGAATTAAAGAGTCAGTGGCGAGACGATTTGAAAGCCATTCTCTGGCTCAATTCGAACCACTCGAACGCCCCTCGTCGGCGACAGCTGCGTGCAAATTGTTGCCATTTTATGGCATTTCAGTGCACAACGAATGCAGCTGTCCCTCCTCCTCCTCCCTTGATACCCCCTCGAAGCACACACAGCCAACCCGCCCCTGCACCCACCTGAGAATGCAACCCCCGCCTCGCTGTCCCTGGCAATTTAGGGAGCAATTTTCGCTTACTATTCTAAATGTTCATAAACACATTAAAATGATAATTAAAAGAAGAAAATTTCGCCCTCTTTCATTTTTCGCACATCAGCGGCAAAGTTAATGCCGCAATGTTGCATCTGCATTATTTATTTATTATGTATGCAAATGCATTTAATTGCAACGCGGTGGGGAGCACAGAGCAGGAGGAGGAAAGAGGAGATGCTGCTGCTGCTGCTGCTGCAGGCGAGGCAACGTCAAACAATTTGCATATTTTAGCATGTAATGAAATTTGTAATAATTCTGCAATTAATTGCGTACGTGTCCTTGTTTATAGCCCACGTAGCAGGAGCAGGAGCAGGAGCAGGAGCAGGAGCAGGAGCAGGAGCAGGAGCAGGAGCTGGAACCCAGAGTGTCCGGTTTCGTTTTCAGTCTGCTGCTGTGGGTTTTTGGCTTTTTCGCCTCCCCCCAAGGGCATGGCTGGCCATGGGAGCGCGGATGGCGGACATTAATGTTTACGTTTTGCCTGTGTATAAATAAAGCTGCTGAATCTATATATATACACACATGTGCATAAAGATATGGCCATATACATATACACACATGAATGTTGCTTTTATTTAAGCCAGAGGGCAAATTTTATAGGACCGGACTTTAATGGTTTCCTTTAATGTTGCAGAGCTCACAAAATATTTCGAAAATCGATTGCAGTAAAAACTTTTACAATTTGTTCTCTGGCCAGCAAGTATTTAGAAACATATATTTGCTAATTGGTTGTCTCTTTAATGATCGAAGCTAATTGCTATTAAATTTTACAAATTGTTGAATTAATTTTTGTTAAATTTGTTAAAAGCTTTGAATATTTAAAGAGATTTCAATGGTTCTATGGTTTAGTTAAGCATTTGTAAAAGACTCCACGAATAATACTAATTATAAATACAAATTGTTTCTCTAATTTCTCTACATTTCTGTATATGTAACTGCTTAAAACATTTCCAACCGAGTTCAATTGAACTTCCGGCTTTGTTGCTTTCAAGGATTCACTTGAAATTGCCACATTTTAGGAGCCCGACTTTGACCTGCACTTGAAACTGCCGAAAACACAAACAGAACAATCAACTTTTCCACCCCCTTGGTGCCATTGCTTTGGTCCTTTTGGCTGTGGGTCCTGCACGGGCATATCCTTCATTGGCGGCTGCTTTACAATTTGCATGTTTACAAGTAAATTTCCAACATGAATATTTATTTATTTTACCATTGCAGCACAAAATGGAGTTTGTTGCTTTGCATTGTTGTAGCTTTGCTGTTGATGTTGATGGGTTGTATGTGCGTGTATATGTGTGTATATACCTTTGGCTAGGTGTTCGACATGCTCTTGTTGTTTTAATCCGGTCCACCCCTGCTGCAGGTCCACCCAAGCTCCTGTTTGGGTGAATTTTCAATAACAAGCTGCTACTGCTGCTGCCTTTGCTTTTGCTGTTGTTATTGGTCATTTTGTTGTTTGTTTTTAATTGTTTTGCATGTTTTCGTTTCATTTGCAGTCGCCCGGGGGGAGAGGGGGCAAATCGACACCGTAATTATGGCGAGAAGAACAACAAATATTTATGCTGATTTTTATGCTCCGAGCTTGGGTTCGGGCTTATAAAATGAAAGGTATTTAAATTTTAAGATGTCAGCGGCAGATACTCGTCGCAGATACTTTGATTTTCATTTCATTTTGATGTTTTTCAATTATGTTAAGGGTCGATATTGTTTTCCTTTCTATTTAGCTATGGTTTCTTTTTTCGGCTGTTTTTCCTGATCCTGCCCCTGCGTTGTCTGTTTGTTTTTATTCCTGCAATTGTCTGGACTGGCAGACAGACAATAGATTTCAAGGATGGTTTCATTTCAGCTGCGTCCATTTGTGTTTCATTTTCATTTTCCTTTTATGGCTTGCAATAATCATTTGGCGTTAGAAGGGAAACGGAAGTACAGAAGCGAGCCAAAGGCAGAAAAAAAGAAAGGAAAAGTGCCAAAAGGAAAGTCTCATAAAATTAGTAGCAATGACTTTAAAAATGCCATGTTTTGCCGAACTCACTGCCATTCATTTTATCCATTTTTCCCCAGATCGTTTTCTTTTTTGTTTCATCTGTTTTCTTTTGTTTTTTTCTGTCTCTGTTCTTTGATGATGAGTTTTTCATTAGTTTCGCGCCGTTTGAGACTGCCAATTAAAATAGAAAGAGACAGAGGCCAGCCAATATTGGAAAAATATCTCGACATTTCTATGCACATTTATATACAAATTTTAGCACTGACAGAAATATTTATTAATGGAAAATAAAGCTAGATTTACTTGTGAAATAAAGTCAAGTATATTTAGAATTTAATTCTCAAAAGGTGTGTTATTTAGTATTGAATTAATTATATCTTTTAAATGGATACATCCTTGGGTATATATACTAATTAGTATTCTTTTTTATTATATATATATTATATTTCTTTATTGAATCCAGTTTTTATCCTATTTTTCTCTCACTGCATAGATAGACATTCGGTCATGATGATAAATGAGCTGTGTGTTAGCTGAACAAAAATGCGTGCTAAATGTTATAATTGCCGCCATTCATTCAAGTTTTACGGATCGAAGCGAAGGGGAATGGTCCGAAACACGATATTTATTTCGCAAATGTTATAAAATTTAAGCTAAAGACTTGCACATTCGAACATTTAAGCAAAGAAACAATTCATTTGTGACTATTATATTAGTTATGCAAACGAGGTCAAGTTTTTGTTAAATTATTTTAAATACTTCTTATAATTTCATGCATTTCCATTATTTTAAAAAATGACTTCATATGTTTCCACTTCAGAAAACTTGATTTCTTTAATTTTGATTAGTTTGCATTTTATTTTTTATGAATTCCAGGAAATTCAGGGGCTCTCTTTGTCATATTTGATTTTCTTTGACCAAGCAAAAAAGCACCGCACACATTGATTTCAATGGAAAACCTAATCAGTGCTTAGCTAGACAATTTTTTATAATTTTTACAAAATCCAGACTATATAAAGCTGATCTTTGAAAGTTAACTTAGTCTGCCTTTAGCCATAATGACGTGTATTTATTATTATCATCTATATTTGCCTGCTGACATTTATAGCTGCGGAGAAGGACTCTTCCTACGGATATCCTTACACTGTGCCACCCTACAGAGTGCCTTATGCCATACCCTTATAATTCATGATATAACAATTAATTAAACCTATCAATAAATATACATTTCTTTTAAAGTAATAATTTGAGTGTTAACTTAATATAAAATATATATTTAAATACATCCAAGTTCAAAATAAACCTCTTTAACTTTTATGCCTAAAGCCTGATTTAAATTTTGTCATAAATTTCCTCATAATTTGGCAATTTCCCGTCCTCCTTTCCTATTGAGTTTCCTGCTCCATTTGCACAAGCAAACTGCTTCTAAGAAAATAAATTCAGTTTTGTGTTTTTCCTACGCTTTTCTCTCTCACATTTATCTCGGAAAAATGCGAAATTGCGCAACAAAAATATGTATGTGTATGAAAACAAACGTAGAGCCAAAATAAACCCTTGAGAGGAAAATAGCCGGAGACCCTGAAGGACTCGCAGGCACACACACACACACAAACACACACAGGACAATAAGGACAAGGACGGCCAAAACGGAACTGAAGAGCAGGCAGAATAATAGTCAATAAAATATTTGCACGAACCAAAAATCATTGAAGCGCATCTCGGGGACTTTTATTTCAATACAATCCCCAAGATATAGATACGGTAGGGGTGCAAAAAACAGCGAAAAAAAGTGGCCCAGGCATTGAAATAACATTTGGCGAGCACAAAAAGTCCTTCAAGTGCAGCAGCAGCCGAGGGAAAAGATGACAGGCGAGCTGAATTTAACAAAAATAAGGAAAGGGTGCCACAGGTTCTGTGGCAACAAAAACGGAGAAAGAGGAAGTGAGGAGGAGAAGGAAAACCCCCAGAAAGGGAAAACAATTTTCAATGTTTTTGCTTCTAGTCGACGGCGCTTTATTCAATGCCACGCAAGAAAAAAAAAAAAAGAAAACTCTCTTGGCCCAACTTACTCGAGACTTTTAGTCACAAAAATTTTTACCCATGACTGGACAACACAGTGGCGGCAAAAAGTGTTCGACCTTTGCAGGCAAAAAACAAAGCAGGAAATGCCTGCCAGGATATTGACAATGGCGAAGGCGGTGGCGGTGGCTGTGGGCACCAGTGGGCGTGGCCATGGCCCCTGAGCCAACGAGCGTGAAAGGAGAAGGCG